ACCAGGGGTAGAAAGTAACTAATCAAAAATACTCATGTAATCAAGTAGATTTTTTTTAAGTAGTTGTACTTTTTTGAGTAGATTTTTAAACTTGTAAGAAAGAAGAGTAGCCATGTAATTTTAATTATTGATTTAGTTTCAGTAGTAGAGTACAACAGAAGTCCCATCTGTCCTGATCTACAACTGTCTCACCTCTGTTTCTCCTCCTCTCTCTACAAACTCACATAACAGCATTGCCTGCTCTGATTGGCCAGAGTTGAAAACGAATTAATTCAGTTAATCAAGTTTTCTATAAAAGACTGATCTAATATGTTGCTAAAATTGTGATGAAAAATCCATCCATCCATTTCCTATGTTTATCCGGGACTGGGTTGCGGGGGCAGCAGTCTAAGTAGGGACATCCTCCATCCCATACACTATGTTCTCTGGAGGGACCTGAAGGCGTTCCCAGGCCAGCCAAGAGACATAGTTCCTCCAGCGTGTCCTGGGTCTTCCTTGGGACTTCCTCTTCGTGGGATGTGTCCAAAACACCTCCAGAGGGAGGCGCCCAGGAAACATCTGGAACAGATGCTTGAGCCACCTGAGCTGTGTCCTCTCAATGTGGAGGAGTAGTGGCTCTATTCCGAGCTCCTCCTGTATGACTGAGCTCCTCACCCTATCTCTAAGGGAGCCCCCAGCCACTCTGCGGAGGAAACTCATTTCGACCATTCGATCTTGTCCTTTCGGTCATTACTCAAAGCTCATGACCATATGTGAGGGTAGTCACTGCTGACACTGCACCAATCCGCCTGTCAGTCTCACACTCCATCTTCCCTTCACTCGTGAACAATATGATAAAAAGTAGCAAGTAATATGTACTTTGAGTTGTGTTGTTCATGTGTAATTTTTACTTAACAAATTTGAGAGCAGTACTTGTAATTGAATACATTTTTAGCCATGTAACAGTACTTTTACTTGAGTACAAATTTACAGTCATAGAATTGCCAATCTCCACTAAAGAAATGATAGCTGTTAACTTTAAAACTAACACTACATGACTTCACAAGGTGGAATCAAGTATTTTGAGCTTTGGAGATATAGACAGACTAATAATAAAGGATTACTCCAACCTCTGTGAATGAAACTAAACACAACTCCATGTATGTTTTTGATGAGGTAACCTGGCTTAAAGCTCACAAGAGTTCAGTTTTGTATAATATATGACCTTTACAATAATAATGTCATATTTTTATACAATCTAAAGGAAGAACTAACATACAGTGAAAGATGCTACGGTCAAGAGGTTAGTGCTCTTATCAAAGAGTAGTGAAGAGTTACTATAGGCTTTCTCCAGATACTCCCACCACCCAAACAGTAACAGATATACTGTAGTGTTGAGGCACATTTGATCTAAATTGCCTTTGAGATCCTGGCTTCGGTTCAAAGCCTTTTTGCCTAAAGCCTGTAGTTTCACCCACCACCCACTTCCCCTTATGGATGAGAATAAGGAATGAATACAGTATCGTAAGGTCAGAAGAATGTGTGTATTGTATTTTACAGTTTGCAAACATGGACTCAACCTTGTGCTAGTGCTGTTATGTGTTAATGATTCCATGTCATTATAGTCTAAGGAATTATTATTAGGAATTATTTTACATAGATAATTGTAAATGAGAATAGAGAAATATTGGGTGATTTGTCTATTAAAGCTACCGTCTACGAGTTTATTAGATTTTTTTTTTTTCAAGCTCACCTGTGGTCTGTGGTCTTCTTCTGTCAGAACAAAGCTGCCAGACCATCAGCCTGAAGTAATGCAGATAGCATCTAGTGGTGTTATATGGGAATATAACAGGGAGGGTCGGGCCAATCTAATAATAGATGGTAGCTTTAAAGAGCTGGTATCTAGTTTTCCCATGTATTTGAGCAAAATGTGTTTTGTCCTAGCAGGTATATTGCATTAAGCAGGTCTTGATGTCAAAATAAGTCAAGTATATACTAATTAAAAAGCGTTTTGTGCCGGAGAATCAGGAAGTGTGTGATTAGCATGCTCGTACAGTGTTGCTGTGACAACAAAACTCCAATCTGGTCTCTGAAAGCTGTGAAAACTGCTTATAAACTAAAACAAAATGATGAGGATGCTCAGAATGCATAAGTAGTGAGGAATAACTTTGAACCATACACACTGTTGAACTAGTGTTTTTTCACATTTTTAAGATGGTAATACACAGTGATAAAAACATTTGCATTATTAAGTGTTTAAATCTGACACTGACAAACCAACACTTAAACTGAATTCAATAATATTCCCATTGTGTTGGCTCAAAGGCGGAGAGATTAAAGTGAAACAAAAGCTTTTCATGTCTCCTCATCTGCCTGGGATAGCCATCACCGCCCCTCCCTATGTTCCCCCAGTGTTCTGGCAAATAAAATATTAATCACGCAATCTGGAACTCCACCAAACAGTAGAGGGCTCAGTGGCTTTGGTCTGCTACACAGTCTTCTCACACGCCACATAGACTAAGATAAGATAAGGGAATAAGAACATGTGATTTAAACAGGACACTTGGGGTTCTCGGTCATCACAGAGTGGAAAGTTTATCTGGCCTTGTCTGTATGAAGGATTTTGTTCAATAAATGGGTGTGTTTCTTTGACCTATTTCACTGAAGTTGCTATGGCGATTGCAAGATATAAGCTAGAGCTAAACATATGATTGCAATTTTTTCTGATAAACATTGCGATTGCAGTTCGATTTCTGAGTTATGTTTTAATAGTAGGGTTCTGTTCAAAGTTCATATTTAAAAGTGACATATTACGCAGAATGTTTTTTGTGAGCCATCAAAAACATGCCTGGAGTTGTGTTTTGTTTCATTCACATATGTTTGAGTAACTATTATTCATTTGTCTACATCTCGAAAGGTTAAAATGTTCTGTTCCACCTTGTGATGTCATGAAGCTGTAGTTTTCAAGTTAACATCTAACTTTTACCTTTAGTTCAGTAGAGATCGGCAATTCCAAAGCTCAAATTATCCAAATGATTCTAGAGAAGGTGTATGGAGTTTAAAAACACAATAGAGCACTTCCTGTATTACCATATGACATCACAAGGTAAACAGAGCATTTTCTGTTTGAGAGAAGAAATGACAAAAAGACTGAAAACAAAACTACAGGGTTAACAGTTTTATGCAGAGTAACACAGGATATTTTGTTGTTTGTGGAGGAATTTATGGTTCAAAAATTGCAGCCTTTCCCACTTGCTGATGGCATCCTCCCAAATTGCGATTTCGATTCGATTGCAATTAGTCTTACAGCCCTAATGTGAGCTACAAATAACAACATTCATTCTTTGTCTATCAACCCAACCATATGTGGAGATTGACAAAAAATATCAGGAAAGACTGGAAATTGCTTTGCACATTGGGGTAGCAATAATATCTGAAGAATACAAACAAATTAGTCATGTTTAAAGCTTTTCTAGACACTCAAATTTAAAGAAATGTTAGTGTCATTCTGTAGCAAAAGTCTCCCTGACCACACTGGGTTACACATCAAGGGCACAACGGAAGTATGCCATGCCAGCAATGAGTGCGTATACATGCACATCCGTATCCCAGTTATTAGCCATATCCCGGTTATGGCAGTATTTGGGATACTGTGTATACATGAGTATTTGGGATACTGTGAACACATGTGCGCTGAGAACCCGGGACACTCATATCCCTGTGTACATGATCAAAAGGAGTATCCCAGTTTCTTGACATAATCTTACAAATGTGCAAGCACAAAAATTTACTTCATTTAATTTAATAAACCAGGAAAAATACAAACATCCATGAGCTCCTTTAGAGGAAGCTCAGAAGGTTCCTAACCAACAGTAAGGAGCTATGATCCACTGTGCAGATCAAGCCCAACGTTTCCAAACATTGTACAAATTCTACACTGCAGCAGATTCTTAATTGAAATCTCCTGCATGGATAAACTCAACTTTATAACATATAAGCCATAACCACTATAGATCCACATCAGCCCGTTTAACAATATAATTCAGCTTTGCCTCATTTGTTTACATTTTACAGAAACAAAACTTAAGACCACATGGCAAATTTGCATAAACTGTTAGAGCTGATAAAAACAGCTCACTCATTGTGTCGTGATGCAATTCTTTCTGTGACAGAGGATGTGCTGCTGAAGGTGAGTCTGTTCTGTGCATATATGGTTCATGTTTAATTTTTCAGTGATCATACGAGTGCACATTGTACGTCTGCAGGTTTAGTGCAGTCATTTCACTCATGTATGGTCACTTTATTTATGTCACTACTGTTGTGGTGAAAAGACTGAAAAGTCTTTGTCTTTTGGACACATACACACTCAACTTTATGTTGCAGTAACCAGGAAACTACATATACATGCCACATATCCGAATATACCAGCTATAGTATCCTGATTTCTCATAACCAGGATACTGCCTTATTTGGAATACTGAAACCGGGATACTACGTATACATGCACCATGATGAAACTGGATACTCAAAAAACCCGATCATAACTACTTTATTACTGATGTGCATGTAAACGCACTCAATGTAGATCGTGGTCCTGAATTGGTAATGAAATGCAATGTTTTTTAAAATAAAGAAAGCTGGATTTTTCACAACACAAGGTAGGGTTGCACAATTTGAGAAAAGCTTTGAACTGCAATTGAGATTTTTTGTTTGAATAGTAGAATTCTGTTCAAAGTTAAAAGTGTCCAGAAGAACTGATTAAGTAATTGAAAGCTTGACAAACTAAATGTATAATCACATTTCAGAATATTTTCATACAAATGTGAGCTACAGTTTTTATGCAGGATGAGGAAGAGTATTTTTTTGTGATGGGGAAATTATGGTACTTCAGAAATTGCAGTGTTTACAGTTTGCTGATTGCGTTCATTAAAATTGTGCTTTCAGTACAGTTGTGATTACTCTTCACTCTTACATCCCAAATACAAATCCCACAATTATTACTATTGTTAGTGATTCCATACCTGGTGATCTGAAGGTCCAGGCCTCATCATCGTCGAAGTGCGTGTCTCCGGCCGTGAACCTCTCTCCGGGGAAGAAGGCGTGTGCCACCGTGCCCCCGGGTCCATCGAAGGGGTACCCGTCGTTGTGGTCGGCTTTAGTGAAGTCGATCTGGATGTCTGCGTCGCTGCCCGCCACCTCATGGAAGTTGAGAGGGGCGATGTCACTCCACACCTTTAAGGCGTAGTACATGAGAGCGCGCACTGTGTCTCTGCCCAGAAGCCCGGCCGAGTCCTTGGGGAACGTACGCACCCTGCAAGAAAAGAACACAAAACATCTGTGCTGTAATTAGACGAACTACGAAGGCAAGCTGGCATATTGTAATTTAACAGACAGAAGAAGACATGAATACCATTTCTTCATGAAAAAACCCAGGGGATGACAGGTGTTGTGGAGAAGACAATGCTTGCTACATGTTGCTCAGCCAAAACAATTTGACTATACTCATTTGTCAAAAACGTGTGAGTCTGCGCAACTCATCAGAGAAACACATGGTCTGTTTGTGTCAAAGAAAACATGGTGGCTTACAATGGTGGAACGCAAGGAAGCAAATGTAGTCAAATATTGTACTTAGTAGGGGTGTAACCATATCCAAGTCTCATGATACGATATTGTCATGGTACGATATTAATTGCGATATCGTGTGACAGCTCACGATATGGTGGAGAGCCTCACGATTAGAGATGTAAAAAAATCCAAATCTCTCGGTACGATGTTTTCACGATATACATCTCACGGTACAACACTTATTGCGATATTTTGTGGAGGCTAACAAAACTGTTAATATGTGACTTTTTCCTTTTAAAATGCCTCCTGACAAGACTTAATCCAAAGAACTAAGACTTAAAAATGCTTAGAACTGTTATTTCTTCATGTAGTAGTCTGCACTGAAATAGAGCAAAGGATCATGGTCTATGTAGTCTTTTTCCGCAGTCTTTTTTAGCTATTGCTGCGCCATAACTCTTAATTTAAGCAAAGAGACTTTTAATTTCATATATTGTGTGAGAACTTTGACGATACAATATCACGATATTTAGGTTATTATTATACCCCTAATACTTAGATATACATTTTAGGTATCTATACTTTACTTAAATACATTTTAGGGGATACATTTGACTTTTACTTCACTACATTTGAGAACATGTATCTGCACTTTCTACTCCACTATATTTTTAACAGGACTGAAAAGTAAAATTGTTTTTTATTATTGTCTGAGACCCTTTTTAACACGGTCATAATCTGAGCAAACAAATATATAGAAATAAAACAACAAAAACAAACAATTGATTCAGTTGTTTCTGTTGAATAAAATACAACACATATCTATATTAAAATCACTACATTTGAATCTGTGCACAATACTTTTACTTTTTACTCTTTAAGTACAATTTTAAACAGGTAATGTAATACATTTTTCATGTGATACTTTTACTACTGGCAGCTTATGAGTAATAAAGGGGGTAAAGTGACTCAGGTCTGAGAAACTCGTATTTATCAGAGGCCAAAGAAGTGTATAGAAGCGTATAGTATAGTGTAAAGAGGTTTGTTCTGAATGATACAAGAATATTTTAGAGAGGTTTTCCCCATTTTAGAAACACGTGCTACACATTAGCGAGTGTGCTTGGACCGTTCCAAGTTTGGATGGTTACTTGTCATGCTCTATGATCCGGTTCCAGACCCTTCTGCTTTCGAGCAGGATGTGATGTAGGAAGGGCTGGCTGATCAGGCAAACATGTCACTTATGTGGTGGCTAATTGATGCACAACTTTTATAGAAAAAATAGTCTGAAAATGTTTAAACTAGTCAGAAACTCACAGATACTTAAAACACCTACCAATTTAATGCCATTTTATAACTGGACACTGTAGAGAACATACGCACAGGCCAATATGATTCAGTTCATTCATACATTTCTTCAGTGAGTGTTCAGAAACAATGTGTCTTGACTTAACAGGACCAAACACCTGTTATTCCAGTTGAGACCAAGAAGTAGAGGTGCAAAGACTAAGGCCAAGACGAGGTCAAGTCGACTCCAAAACAGCTTTCTTTTCTCTGTGAGCTAGAAGAACTGAACAAAATTGCTACTTTAAACTCTTGATTGGTTGATGTAGAATATAAGAATTTTACTGCATGTGTACTGTCATGTGTAACCCAGTGTTAAAACATGATAAGAAAAACGATCAAATATTCATAAATATTTGGATAAAATCACAATGGGAATAAATATTGATAAATAAGATTTAAATATAAGTATGCAAATATGTTCATTAAATATGATAAAAAAGTGTTAAAAAGCTGTAAAAAAAAAAAAAGTAATGTGTCTTGACAGAAACACTGACCAGCTAATGACAGATTAGTCTGAGATTGTATTAGCCAATAAGCTCAAGGTTGAGGCCCTTGCACTGCGCTCCCCGATGCGCTGCTCAGTCTCTCATTAAACACTGACCAGAGAACTATCCCTCGCTCGTGTTGTTGTGAAGCTGTCGTGGTGAATTGGCATTCTGCTTTTGATTTTCTGTGATTGATACTGAAGTGCTGTATGCTGAGAGCCCCTGGGAAACCACATAGTCTTTGTTAACGCATGTTGCCCTGTATTGGTCAGGTTTCTTGTTTCGATCAGAGTTGAGAACTACCGACGTGCAGAGGAGAAAGAATCATCTTCCAATACTGGATAGTGAGCCCGAGCCCAAAGAGTCGATCGAACTGGTAGCTTGTATTTTGTTTTTGTTATTGTAAAACAATATTTGAATCCAGTCATAATACAAGTTAAATATAAATCTAAAACTAAAATTCAACCCCAAGAAGACTGAAATCCTGAAGTTATTTATCTGTTATCCAAACATAGCTACTTTTACATGCACAGCAAAAACCTGATCATTGTATGATTTCTGGAGTTATCAGATTAGTGAAATGCCATGGAAACAGTTGTATCTGATGTAACAGGATTTCTTTGTGTTTGTTCAATAATGAGCAGGCTTTGGCAAGGAGAATACAAAAAAATACTAATGTGGCAACAAAAAATCAAAGAAAACATGTTAAAAACTGAAAGTACTCAATATACTTTGTGTTCCAAATATATTAATTATTTTAAAAATACACAGTAAAATATTAAAGCGCCCATATTATTCTATTTTCTGATATGTTATAATAGTTCCCTCATCACAAACATACTTAGAGTCTGTTTCATTCACACAAACCCTGCATATTTAAGCGAAGAGTTTTTCTCAAACTGAAAACACTCTGTTCCACCTTGTGATGTCATGTGGTAATAAGGGAAGTCCTCCACTGTGTTTTTAAACTCCATACACCTTTACTGGAATCATTTGGGTAATTTCAGCCCTGCAAATGCCATCACATATGACGTGACATCACAAGGTGGAACAGAGCATTTTGAGCTTTGGAGATGAATACAGACTAATAATAAAGGATTACTCAAACATGAGTGAATGAAACAAACCACAATTTTACTGGTCATGTAAATTTACCCAATAACAATATAATAGAGATGCAGCTAGTATGCAAATAATACAGATAAAAGTATTTTTTTATGAAATGTTTGGAGGCAACAACAGTCAGTAACTAGTCTTATTACAACAATGTATACATACCAAACAGAATATCATGTGAGCCGATATTGTTCAACCAATACCCAATCCAGCATTTCTTTCTGGACCAGAGCAGATACCTACCCAATCCTATTCTACCCCCCTACCAGTGCGTATCACTCAGTGTCCCCAGCTGAATTAAACTTGTGTAGTATCAGGTTTAACACATGTTTAGTCCTGTGTTCGGTCTGCGCTCCAGCTGCTGCCCAGAGCACTCAGCCTTTAATGAAGGTGACTGCACCTTTACTCCACTGTGCCACTTCTGAACCACAGCCAGAAGAGCCGCTGCCAAAACCTTACAACCCACTCCACTGCCAACCTCAGCTGCTCTACACTGTCCCTGTTGTTTACGTCTGACCTGATCTACAACCTCTTCATGTACCTACTGGCATGTTTATGTGCTTGGCAGCTGTATTATGTCGTAGCATCATTCTTTAAGAGAACTATAAGCAGCCTGTGCTCTTAGTGTCTTAAAACTGGTATTACAGTCACAATTGGACCCAGGTTGCCACCTTATTCTGGAAGTTGCCGTGGGCGTTGCCATTGTCATTCTAGTTGTATTATTTTGCACTGGGCTGCCGACAACAAAAATTCTACAGTATATGGACAACAAAGCTGTTTGAAACTCTCAGAGAGAATCTGTGTAGTGCACATGAACACTGAACATGTTACACAAATCAACCTACTTTATATCATATTTTAGTGAAACTCAAATTCTCAGTTGAAATGAGTGGGATTCCTGCTTAAACAGAGGAAAGCAAGCTTTAATAGCATTCAGAGGCAAAAGTGGACAGGGCCGAATAGGATCAATAGAAAACACATACATGTTTGGGTCATTCTCAGTACACAGACAGGCCATGCCTCATGTGAAAGCTCAGAACCTCCAGAATTCACTCCCTGAGCTGCAGAGGCTGCACTAGCACTTATTCATGAATGGCCATAGGTGTTGCAATTTAGGTAGTGACCATTCAGATCAGAGAGAGTCTTTTTAGATTTAAACCAACTGGATTGGAACTGGCAACCCAAACAAAAGACTTGTGAGGCTTATTCAGCGTTCTGATTGGCTCATCATCACCAAAACACCAAATTATAATATTTTTGTAATTAATAAAAAAATTGCAAATACACCTAGTTTGCATTATATTTGCCAAAAAAGTATTAGGAACAGTAGACAAATGAATTCAAAATCCAGTTTAGTATCAAAGAAGTTGATCTTTTATTATTTTGTTACACTTTAAGCAAAAAGGCTTCAGTCCATAAATGGGAAAAAGCTTGAGAGACACATTCATCAAAAGAGGTTTGTCATTTTTATTTATAACTTCTTATTTGGATCCCTCGGTCCTCAGTTTGATCATAACAAAGTAGTCTTTTAGTCCTTCATCAAATGTCACTCTTCATATTGCCTTAATAAAACAAGATGATGCGTTGTGTGTTGTGAGGGTAAATTATTTTCCAAACACAACGTAAGTGGTTCAAAACCCAATTTCTGCCTTTAATCAAATTCTAGCGACTTGCAATAGACTCTGTGTGTTTATTGTAAAATGACTATGAAATCTTGAATAAAGCATTCATCACAATCAAATATTTGATCTAATCTTGTATTCTAAATTACAATAGTCTTTTCCAATCTACAATCCAGTTCTCA